GAGGAAGGGAGAGGGAGAGAGAAATAGAAACATCAGTGATGAGAAAACATCATTGATCAGCTGCCTCCTGCACTCCCCCTACTGGGGATCAAGCTTGCAGTTTGGGCATATGCCCTGACTTGGAATCGAACCAGTGACCTCCTGGTCCACAGGCTGAAGCTCAACCTCTGAACCACGCCACCCGGCTGTTGCTTTTTTAATCCCCACCCGAGGATATGTTTTTGTTGATTTGAGAAAGAGGAAGGGGGAGGAGAGAGAGGAGAGAGAGAGAGAGAGAAAGAGAGAGAGAGAGAGAAACATCCATGTGAGCATAACATTGATCAGTTGCCTCCTGTATGGCACCGATTAGGGATTGAACCTGCAGCCTTTTGGTATATGGGATGATGCTACAACCAACTGAGCCATCTGGACAGGACTTTTGTGGGGGTTTTTTTGTTGTTGAATTTTTATTGATTTTAGAGAAAGAGAGAGAGAGACTGAGAGATAGAGAGGCAGAGACATCAATTTGTTGTTCCACATATCTGTGCTTTCATTGGTTGATTCTTGTATGTGCCCTAATGGGGGATCAAACCCGCAACCTTGGCATATTGGGACAACACTCTAACCACCTGAGCTACCTACATGGCCGTTGTTGGGTTTATGTTATCACTCTTGGTTATTTGTTGAAATGTGGGAGCACTAAGGAGGGTTCATAATCTTTGTCAATGACCTTTACATTAGCTCAAGGGTGCATTAGTTTCCTTGGTATGCTTAGAAGGTACCATTTAGGGCTGGTTAACACTTTAGTTTTAGCTCCTGGGAATATTTGGATCATTGTAGTAGAGTCAAGGGCAGCAATAGCTGTAAAGATTCTTGGTGCTCTTAGTGTTCCTGTCAACCATTTGCTCTGGGGATGAGCCTCAGCAGGCCACATAGTGATAGTTCTGCTTCATTCAGAGGTCCCCTGCTGACACCGGGGTTGTGGCTGCTGCTGGAGTAAGCTTCTTTAGGATTGTGCAGGAGGCAACAGACACAGGTGGGAGGTGAGGCGGAGGGGTTGCTGGCACTAAATCAGTCATCGGTGGAAATCCAGGTGCAACTACTTTGGAAATGGTTTGATAATTTCTTGGAAAGTTAAACATAAATTTGTCATATGCTCCAGGATTTCTTCTCCTAGATATTTACCCAAGATAAGTAAAAACATGTCCACATCAATATAAACATAGTATATGAACATTTATAGCCATGTTATTCATAATCATCAAACAATAAAAACAGTCCAGATGTCCATCAACTGGTGAATCGATAAACAAAATATGGTGTATCTATACATGAAGTATTATTCGGCAATAGAAAGGAATGAAATATGAATACACACTACAATGCGGACGAAACTCAAAAACACTAAGTGAAAGAAGCCAGACACAAAATATTGTATGAAACAGGCATGCAAAGCAGACCAATGGTTGCCTGTGACTGTGGGTGAGGGTACCGTAGAAATTGGGTACAAGGGATCTTTTGGGGGTAATGGAAATCTAAAGCTGGATTATAATAAAGGCTGCGGAAATCTATAAAGTTACTCAATATCATTGAATTGTGTCCTTACGCTTTTTATATGTAGGAAATTTTGAGAGTAAATACGGGTTGGCATCCTTGGTTTTGCTGTGTATAATTTTATGCAGTGTGTGTGTGTGTGTGTGTGTGTGTGTGTGCGTGTTTCAAATATTGGAGGTTGATGAATATAAGTAATGTTGTGTTGCTGGGATATGCACAAGATTTAAGTAGTTTTGAAGAGCACCACATTAAAAAGTCTTCTTAAGTAATCTACATAGTCATCATCAATATCCTGAAGTGAAAAATAGACAAAATGAGCAAAGTTTTCCATTAGCATTTAGATTTCACTTTTTTTTTTCATTTTTTTCTAAGCTCCCAAGTCAAGTTTAACATGCTGTTTATTTAAGATTGAGAACATCACCCAAATATGAGTACCTACAAGGTGTGGGGTGTTGTGTCAAGCTCAACAAAATAAACAAGGTTTAGCAATTATTGAGTTGTTGCCATATCCAGGTTTAGCAGCTTAATATTGTACGACTCCATTTAATTCTCACAGCAACAGTTTGGTAGGACTATTAATATTCCCATTTTATAGAAGGAGAAATTGAGACCCAGAGGGTTTATTCACTTGTCCCAGGCCACATAGGTGGAAGGGTCAACTGACTGACTTCCCAGGCTGTGTTCCAAATGGAGAAACAGGGGTAAGTCATTTAGTCCCATGTCAAATACAAGTGATCTTTCCAGATATATAGGGAATTGTTGGAGAGAATGGCAGGGAGCGGTCAAGAATGACTGAGACTTGCAGGGATGGAGGGCCTCGGGGACATGTGGAGGTGAGACCAGGGCCATACGCTATGGTGGGAGGCAGGGGCCATCCAGAGGAGATCTTTGAATTCCTTCAGACAAAGTCAGATGTACTGAAGGCAGATGTGCAGCAGCTACAGACGCAGCATAGACCAAACACTGAGAAGGGAGCTTCAGGGGCTGGCCAGAGGCCCACGCCCTGCTGTCCAGGCTGAGGTTTAGCTAGGATAGCCAGGCCAGTCATTCAAGTAGTGGCTGAACTGCAGCTTTTTCCTTCTCCCTAGGTCACCAGAGGCGCCTATCTGGTTGAGTAGGTGCCTGCACTGGTTGAGTAGGTGCCTGCACTGTGGGTACTTTGCCTGCAGAACATCTGTTTCTGTGTGTTTGGCATCTGTTGCAAATATCCCCCTGTGCAGATGATGGATTGAAAAGGGAAGGAAAGGAGAGACCGAATAGGAGTCTGTCACGATCAGGCCTGAGTTAAAATACACATGATAGGAGCAGATGGAGATTTAAGGAGAAGCGTGAGGAATTTGAATCTTATCTTGGTAATTCAGTGGAATTTGGGGGTGAGAGGAACCTGGTCAAGGTCTTGGGTGCGTGCAATTATGTACTGTGTTAGTCTGCTATGGCTGCTGTAACCAAGTACCATAGACTGGGTGGCTTTACCAAATAAATTTATTTTCTCATTAATTTTTATTCAATTTAGTTCTGGAGGCTAGACATCTGACATTAGAGTGTCTGCAGAGTTGGTTCCTTCTGAGGGCTGCGAGGGAAGGAGCCGTTCCAGGCCTTTCGCCTCAGCTTGCAGATGATCATTCCTGTTTCTTCACATGGTCTTCCCCTTCTGTCTGTGTCCCCATATCCTCTTTTTATACCTTAAGTACCTCTTTGTAACTTAAGTACCCCTTTAAAGGGCCTGTCTCCAAATAAGGCAACATTCTGAGATGCTGGGGGTTAGGACTCCTACAGATGAATTTTGGCGGTAAGAGAACACAAGTCAGCCCGTGATGCTGAAACATAAACAGATCTCACTTTGCTCATTCTGAGGAGCCATATAATGGGGCTGGCCTGTACTTCCTATGAGCTGGGTTAGTGTGTGCTAGTTGTAAGGGGGGAGGGTGACTTTCATGGAAAGAATCCCGTGACCTAAGTCGAGGTGGCAGATCTTAACATAGTTTTGGAAATTCAGATTTTCTTAAGGTGAGTGTAACCTCTATGAGAAGCCCAGGTTTGGGGGCACCTTGAGACGTTGAGACAGCATGGCTTAAGTAGTTTTATTTCATCTTCACTTTTCGTGCCTCTGTTGAGCCAAATATGCTTAGCTGAGAGTTTGGACATCCTAGAGATGTATGACTTCATGTGCCCATTTTGTTTTCTTGAGCAAAACAATGTCTATATTTGTAATTCTTTTCTCTTTCACATGCTATTATAACACACTCTAAAGTGATTTTTTAAGTTGTATTTTTTAAAAATTATATTGTTTTCTAATTATAAAAGTATTATGAATTCATTGTAAAATTATTTTTAACAAAAATGAAAATTACCTATTATCTCACCATTGAAAGATAGTTTATTAATTTTATCATAGGGGTGTATTTTCTTTAAGAATATGTGCATGTATGCACTTAATATAGGTGAGATTACATATGACACATACACACATGTATTATATACATATAAACACAATTTTGTGTCTTCCTTTTTTCACCAAATATTGGAAATTTAAAAAATCCTTTAAATATGTGTTTTAAGTGACTATCCTTTTGTCTGAGACTTCATAACGGACCCATTCTCTTCTATTTGTTTTTTTCATTATTATAATACACTCCACTTCCATAACACTAATAAACATAGGATATATTATATATTTATTGATTGAATGATTGATTGTCTAGTTTACCCTACAAAATGTAAGCTCCAGCCAAAACCGGTTGGCTCAGTGGATGGAGCATCGGCCTGTGGACTGAAAGGTCCCAGGTTCGATTCCGGTCAGGGGCATGTACCTTGGTTGCGGGCATATCCCCAGTGGGAGATGTGCAGGAGGCAGCTGATCGATGTTTCTCTCTCATCGATGTTTCTAACTCTCTATCCCTCTCCCTTCCTCTGTGTAAAAAATCAATAAAATATATTTTTAAAAAAATGTAAGCTCCAAAAAGGGCAGGATTTGAAGTTTAATGTTCCCTAGCCTCACTCCAACTCTTCTGCACTCAGAACCCAGAACAGACCTGGTACATGGTAGATATTCAATAAGTGTTTGTTGAATGAATAAGTGAATGAATGAATGAACATATTTGTGCCTGTTGAATGAATAAGTGAATGAATGAATGAATGAATGAACATATTTGTGCCTGTACCTTTTTTACTTTACAGATACTTTTCTCTAGGGTTGATTTTAGAAGGATAATCCCTGTTAACAGATATTAACAATTATAAAGCCTTGATATATGTTGCTATTTTGTCAATTCGGGAAAGATCATGTCAATTTAGAGCTCCAATCACTAGACCATGACAACTCCAGAAATAGCCTACGGAACCCACTGACACTCAGCTAGTCTCCCCCAGACATCAGCTTCTCCCCTGGAGAAGACAACAAAGGTTACAAATATGCTTTACTACCAGTATATATCCCCAACTTTCTTTTCTTTATCCTCCATCTCAAGGGGGAATCTATCTGACCTTCAAAACAAGAACCACAAAGACCTCCTCTAATTTATATGTCGTTCTGTTAAAGTCACATGTCTTCCCTGGAACAGACTCCGAAGCCACCGGCCTGATGGTGCCAAGAGCCTTGGGCTTCCTCAGTGGGAGGTGATGTGGGGAGATGGAACAGGTGGCTTTTCTCGTTTCCCACTCTGCTTCAGTCAGAGAAGCCTCTTTTCATCAATTTGATGTATTAAATATTTGTATTAAATCTTATTAGTAAAACAGGGTTTCATAATAAAAGAGTTTGAGAATCATTTGTTTATTCATTTTATAGCTGAGGCCCAGAGATGCTACTCACTTGGCAAGTATCTCTAACCCCCAGCACAGGCTTCCCTTCACTAGCTCCCTGTTTTATAGCCTTTAGCAAAGATTAAAACATGCACAATTACCAACTGAGGTGCTCATTAGAAATGAAAATTCCTCACCCTAACCGGTTTGGCTCAGTGGATAGAGCGTCAGCCTGCGGACTGAAGGGTCCCAGGTTCGATTCCAGTCAAGGGCATGTACCTTGGTTGTGGGTACATCCCCAGTAGGGGGGTGTGCAGGAGGCAGCTGATTGATGTTTTTCTCTCATCGATATTCCTAGCTCTCTATCCCTCTCCCTTCCTCTCTGTAAAAAAATCAATAAAATATATATATATTAAAAAATATATATATTAAAAAAAGAAATGAAAATTCCTGGATGGACCCTACTTCAGATCTATGGCTTCAGAATCTCTGGGCTGGGACCCATGAGTCTGCGTTCCTAAATGAGCCATGTTGCAACTCATCCACTCTTGTATGCCCTGGCACTTTCTCTCAACATATACCTCTCTCATCACACTTACAGGAGGCTTCCTCGTTATCAGGGCCTCAGGACTCTCCCTGCTCTTCACTGGCCACTATTGAACCTTCTTTTCCTCTGTTTTCCATTCCTCCTGCCCACTTCTCCCCTTTCAGTAATCCTGTATTACTGGGCAGGGGAGATACCCTGCCCTTTGTAGGTGTGACCCACGCATCTTTGTACTTTCTTATGAAGGCACGTTTCTGGGTCCTTCTGTGGTTTTCATCCAGGGGTCAGGAACATCCAGAAACCTGTCAACCAGATATCAGGGTTGTCTGACCGTGGGTCTTAGCAGTAGCTGTGGGTGCACTAGAGGCCGCAGTGCAACAAGGGCTGTTTCATTTGTGTACACTTGGAGCTGCCAGTGATGGATCATTCGAGAGTATCATGGAGGTGGGAGAGCTCTCAGGATTCGAGGGACCTCACAAAGTACCAACCAACTGTCTGCTTTTCATGCTTCCAGGGGTGGATCAAGATGCATGTACCGACAAGGGTTATGCTTCTGCTTAGCAAGGAGTCCAGACTGCTGCAGCCGCTCCCCAGTGTCACCAGTGCCCCTGGTTCCTTCATCCCTCATCTCCACCAGCCTCTGTGTGGTCCTCGTCCTCACATCTGCAAATGGTGGCTGCCCCTAGACACCTGCATTGCAGTTGGGAGGAAGAAGCCAAGGGCAAAAGGCTTTTCCCTAATGAGGTTTTGCCTTTATAGTTGGGAAGGAAATCTCTACCCCACGGTGTCTGCCCAAATCTTTGGGGCCCTAATTGTCACACACCCAGTCTAGAAAGATGAATGTTCTAATTTCCCCGCCTCTGTGCTAGAGGAAGGTTAAAGAAAGGGCTTCCAGAAATGGCACTGGGGCTTGATCCACTGCCCGCCACAAGGGGAGCCCTTGGTCATGTGGAGCAAGTCGTCTGCATAACCCTCTCATACAGACTGTGGACACTCAGAAGAGGTGGGGTGCTGCAGGACAAAGTACAAGATGCTAGATGAAGCCCCACACTGTAAGATGTGAGGTCCAGATCGACATGGAACAAGTTCCCAGGAGTATGCGGGGGTGTCGGTAGTGGAGTTAGTGGTGTATTCTGAAAGGCAACACTGGCTGTACAAATGTATAAGGGAGCATAAATTGCTTTAAGGGCTATAGAAGTACTCTAAAATATGAAATATATATATAGAGAGACATAACTGCAAATACTAGCTGTGAGCCAACAGCAGCACACCTCTGTGCTAACATGAGATACCAGGGTGACCGTGACTCCCAAGCACAACAGAGGTGGTGGGGACGGCAATGCAGCAGGCTGACTTCTGTCCCAGCTGCTCTCTGACTCCCTTTTTTGCCGAGATCATCAGCAACGTAGCGAACAAACAATCCCTGTATTACTTGCTTCCTCAGATCCAACCACCCCTTTCTTCTCCGCATGGTTTCCTCCTTGACTCCCATGGTGCCGGCGGCGCTGTGGCTGCCTCACTTCTCTCGTTCACGTTGCCTCCCTGCCCTGCATTGCTGCCTTCCCAGCTCCTTTTCTAGCTTTCAGAGGCGTCTTACTCTGCACCCTCACACTTGCTCTTCTTTCTGCTCCTTTCCACCTGGCTGATTCCTCAGCTGTTCCCGGAAGATCTAGCTCAGCTGCCCCTTCCCTTGGGAAGCCTTGCCACTGCTTTTCCTCCCTCTTTCTAACTTTCCTTCTGTGTTTCTCTGGCACCGCTCATTATCACACTCGAGTAAATTAAATTTTTATTTGCTCCTCTCCTGGGGAGACTGAGATCTATGTGCTGGCAGTGGCTGCCCATCATTTTTGTATCTCCAACATTTACTGACTGTCACATCACAAATAACAACAAATATGCATTGAATGAATGAGTGAGTGAATGCATGCATGAAAATAGACTAGGTGTTATAATGTGCTCCAGCTCTACTCAGAGAGAGCAACTATCATGGTAACTAATGATGGGGCCAGGGTGTGGGAGGGGAGGGGCAGGAGTGAAGACAGCTCACATTCAGCCACAGTGAGACAGGCCCGGCCAGACACTTCGCACATACTGTTTGCTTTATTATCATGTCAACCTGTAGAATATGTGTTAGAGTATTTGTGTTATAGCATTGAAAGAAATGGACATTCAGAGAGATTTAGTCACTGGACTAGTAACTAAGGAAAACATGTAGGGATGATGCTAAAGTTAATAGAGCTGAAAATGAAGTCAAAACAATGTCTTGAAACACTTTGACAGTAAGCAAAATGAGCTTGTTTCTTTCCTTTGTGCAAAGAGAAGGACTTTTCACAGGCGTAGAGAAAACCTTCCTGCAGGTCTCATGCCTTCTTGGTCTGCCTTTGGTTCAGACTGACCTCCTACAAGGTGTCTGGCTTTGTCTCCATGGGGCAGGCAGCAGGAAGAGTCCCCCCTCACCCCCGTACAGCCTCACCTTTGATTTGTACGAAGATTGTGAAATACATCATCCAGAGCCTTCCTTCCTCACCACAAGCACCCTGTGCTCCTTGGGCCATCCACCACCTTGAGGTGTTACTGTTTCCCACCAGTTTTCCAGGTTCTGCATTGAAGCACCTCACCTACTCCGGACTTCTCACTGCTTCTCCTCGTATTTTGTGCCCTGTGTTCTCCACCATCAACATTTCCTTTTCCATATCATACCCATATGGTTCTGTGCTGGGCCATCCATCTCTTGGCAAACAGTATCGTATGTCTATCTCCACCAAGGTGTTTCTGCAGGATTCTAGCTCAGTGTTGGGGTCCTTGCCATTGGGAGGAAAGGCATTTCAGCTCATTGGGAGTTTCTGCAGGATCCTGTCCCTCCCTGGGAAAGAATGAATCTGAAATCACAGAATTTCAAATGGGTTGGATGGATCTACTAGAAAACATAGACTCTTGCAAGAGCCTCTTACAGCTATCAGACTGCATTCTGAATACTCTATAGAAGGCACATGGCCTATCACATAAGAGCCAAGCATAGCATTTGAAAAATGAAAACTACATGAATGATGAGACTTGCTCTTTGGATACATGGTGTGGATGATAGAGCATCTGAAGTCAAACTCCTTTGGAGACTGAATTCTGAGTTCCAGAGATTTGGGGGAGGAAAGACTTCCTTCTGTCTTGCATCATTATGCTCTCTCATGCCTCAGGGGGACCAGGGCGATGGGCTTTCATAAGTCACCTCATGGGGAGACTTCAGGGTTTTCTTCTTTCTCAAGCAATAATTGATCTGATCATAGCTTCTTGAGCACTTAAATTCAGAGGCCGAAAGATAAAGTGCTAGTTAAGGTCGTCCTCTTTTCACGAGTAAGCGGATTTCTAGGAGACCAAGACACCAGGCTATTTCCAAAGGCAAAACAGACTCTTGTTGGACTAAAAGGATAAAGGAAGAAAGGCAAGGGCAAGGCATCCCCTTTTCAATAGGTAAGTGCCCAGATGTTGCCTAGAAAGAGTGACCTGACTCCAGTTCTCAGTATCATCTTTGGAAATCCGCGGTCACTCTGTCCATGGAGGAGCTGGCCAGGTACAGGAGGACCTTGGGTGAACACAGATTCAGCTGCCATCCTTACATGCTCTTACCTGGACCACCTCCATGACCTTCATTTATATACTGCAAGACAATGCTGCTGATTTTTCTTCTGTGTGTTAACCTCATGCTTTGTTAGGCCATCCCACTGTGGAAGAGGCCTGCTCTGCCATCATTTGACTCTGTCATATCCTTGTCAGCACAGGTCTCAATAGCTCCACATTTGAGGACGTTGGGGGCAGAGCTTTGGCCTGGGGCCAGGTGTGGTCCCTGGCCCAGCAGCATCAGCGTCCCTAGAAAGTTTGTTAGAAATAGAGATTCTCAGGCCTGACCCCAGACTACTCAGTGAGAGACACTAAAGTTGAGACCCAAGCCCTCCACGTGATTCTGATACATGCTGACATCTGAGAACCACCAGCCTGGAGCACCTCATTCCTAAAGGCTAGAGGTTGGAGGGAGGCATGGTCACTCTACTTTATCAAACCATAGCATTCAACATTACTTGTGCCCTCGCTCAGATATCCACTTTTCACACCTAGAATTTTGACTGTACTCAAAGATGAAGTCTTTTGTATGAGGATTAGTGAATTTGTGGACAAAGTTGGGAACAGGATTTTGAGTAATGGGCCATGTCTTTCTGGGTAGCAGGGCCTCTGCATCTCCCCTCAGACTTTACAACTGCAGTGCTTCAAGCCAGCTTCACCTGCACGTCTCTCCTGATCTTTGCCTGGGGGCCGCTCTGGCTGACTGAGTCACTTCGCCCACTTACAGCATGCCAGTGCCCAGTGTGTGGGAGAATGAACGGCCCTGGGGGAAGCCATCAACTCCTGACTGACAAGAGTTGGC